TAGCCGCTGCTGAAACTGACCAGCGCTGACTACAGGAAGCCCCAGGCAGAGTTGCTCTGCCCCGGGCTTCCTGGATTCAGCCGCTGATCAGTTTCAGCAGCAGCTGACTTGGGGACGCCTGGGTTTCTTAAGTTGAATCCGTATGTAAGTCAGAACTGGCGTCCAGATTCAGCCGCTGTTGAAACTGATCAGTTTCAGCAGCGGCTGATGCCAGTTCCAACTTACATACATATTCAACTTAAGAACAAACCTACAGTCCCTATCTTGTACGTAACCCAGGGACTGCCTGTAATCAGAAGGAGGTAAGTCTTTAAAATCAGTTTTTAATCAGGTTAATCTGCTGCTTTTGCCTCTTTTTAAATAAAAGAGAATATTATGCCCAAGTGTTAAATCAGGAAATCACAGAGTTTGTGTATCAAACAAAACAGATAGACACTTATCTTCAAACTGTCACAGCAAACCAGTTTGCATCCCAACTGATGGGAATGAACGAGCCACCATAACTAAGCAAGTACACACGGCTAAACTTACACATTACATCTAGAAAAATGATCCTAAGCAGACAAAGGGGAGTCACTAAAATGCAGTGAAGTCTATACGTCATCTTGGTGCAATCAGCGCTCCACTTATCTATAATGAGACATATTTTGTTGTGGAAGTTAAGCTAGCTAGCTAGCTAGAGAACACTATATAAACCTGGGAAGGCATCGGGACCTTTATCTTTCAAATTCAATTTTAGAAGTAGTTTGTTGATGGGACTGCAATCCTCTTGCTAAACTAGTAAATTTCCTTACAAGAGACATCACACTTTTCCACAGAAATGGATAAGGCTGTTGTTCCAATCCTTGAAGACATATTACAAGCAATTCTCAATTATCCCTTGTGACTCAGTATACTCGCTGTGTCTGTTAAATGCTTTATCTTATTCTGGGTTGTTTAATTTAAAAAAAATTACATATGTAAATTTTCCTGAATTCTAAAATGAGTTTTGTAAACATGTTTCTTTCACTTGATATAAGCTGATATATAAAAAGGCATAGATGAATATGACCTACCCAACTTTTCATTACCTCTTAGGGTTATAAGGTTTGCAAATCATGGTGTCTGAGGCATTCAATAAAATGCTGCTGGCTCTAAACTGAATTACAACTTTGGACAGAAATTCCTTTGTGCATTAACAACGTAGTTTTGATTAAAGATCTGCTGCTGCTACTTCTTAACACCATCTATATTTCTTTCCTCACACAACATTTTAAAGGGTTCTACATCTCCACAACTTTCAGGTACTGGTCTCAAGAACTGTGTTTTTTCCTATCTTAATTCTGCTATTGCTTAGGCTTTCAATATCATTTAATAAAAGGGACAGCATCACAAAGTTCAGAATTGACTTTTAAATTTTGCACCAAAAAGTATTTATAAATCCTAATGTAAATTTTTAAAATACTTCACTTTTGAAATTACTTTTAAATAAAAATAAAAAAATATGTTTTGCTTCCTATCAGATGGTGTTTTTGCTAGTTATCCTTGTAGAAGCTAATGTTTTTTTGGTAGGGAAGTAGGGGATAGGCATGCTGTGTCTGCAAATTCTCATCCAAGAGCTGAATATAGGGATGCCTCAATCAATGGGGCTGGCCCTACTGAATCTGAGAGATTTCAAGGTGACACCTCAAACTCTTCTCCCAACTTTTTTGATGAAACTATGAGTCAACAACCTGAGCCCTGCTGGATGAGGGACTATAGAGGTGTATCTCTCACCCCCTCCAGGATCATCCAGTATCAAACCCAGGACCAGTGCCCAGATTTGAAGGATCCCGCAGCCTTGGATTAACTTCTCACCCACCCAGCTTCATCCAGTGCTGCCCCTTGGGTCAGTGCCCCTCAAAGGAGACCCCCCCCCCCCCCCCAGGGGCTCCTTTTCCCACCCCCCCCCGCCA